TCCTTGTTTAAAGCAGGATGCAGTCCTCATGATATTTGCACTGTAATCAGCTCATGTGGGGCCATATATATCTTTATTTGGAAAATTTCTTTGACTTAACTTTTTTTTCTCCTAAATAGACGTTAAGTTCATCCTGCCTTCCACCGTGGTTTTTGGAACAGATTCCCCCACCCCTTCTTACCACAGTCAGTGCTTGCAGTTCCCTGCTTTATACTGGGTCATGTGCTACTTTGAAGGGATTTGCATATCATTAGTGCTGCATCCAACTAAATGTGGCACTCGGGCTTTAGAGACTATGCTGATACCTCATCCTTCTTCCAGGAAAATAGATCTTGCCTGAAGGGAGGTGCTGCACTAAAATAACATTACAGAGGAGCCAAGCTGCTACTTTTATTGGCTGGCATGTCATGGCTGCCTGTACCAGTTTTAAAATCACTTCACCGACCTTTCCTGAGGTGCTCAGCAACCTTGAGGAATACCCGGGAGTGGCAAAGGGGTGAGGTGACCTGGGGAAGGAAGCAATAACATAAAGCAGCTGGGAATTCTGCATGCTGTGGCTTACTGGCCTGTGGCTGACTAGTTTGCCTTTGGCTGGATTTTGTGGTTGCTGTTTGTGTATCAAAGTGCACACAGTCATTGAACCTTACTTGGAATGGCCTCCAGTAGAGAGAATGCTTGGGTGATTTCTGTCATCCCTCCGTTCTCCATGCCATGTCAATTGCACAGCCTGGAAGCTGTGCTATTTTTGATTTATGTAGGATGACTTTTGGCATATTGGGGGCTATTGAGTAGTCCTCAAACTTCCTGCAAGTTCTTCTTTCTGACCCTCATTAACAGACCTTCCCTTCCCTCTCCTTTCAAACCATTTATTCATTCCTATTGCCTCCATTCCTGCTGTGTGCTTTGTTACCCGGACTTCTAGTTCCCATCCCTAGTGTCAGGGTTTTGATTGTTCTGTTCCTATCCTTACCCACAGCTAATTCCCTGCTTTCTAATCTCTTCTGCCTAATGTCTTCTGGGGAAATAAGTTAGGATGCAAACATGCTATGTTTGGAGGCAGTAAGAGCAGAACCAAGCATCCTATGTGGAATTAAACCCAAACTTGGTCTCATTAACAAAGGAATTTTAGGGCAGATGGGCAAAAATCCTAGGTAGGATCCATGACAACATTCAATCTAAATTGTGGAAAAACTGCTTTGAATGTAATATTTCCAGCTCCTTCCCCTAACATGGGAATTACCTCTACTCCAGATATGCACAGACTTATTTTAATTACTAGGAAGATTTTCAAAGTCACACCATATCTAATGCGTGCCAGCTGGCTGGAGCATGTCAGACTGTATATGACACAAAGCCAAGGCACGAGGTGGGGAAAAGTACACTGAGTAGCAGAAAAAAACCAAGCAGCTAGCATGAAAATACTCTGTACAGCATCTCCAGGATCATTAAAGACCTGGCTGCAAATGGGGGACCTTACTGGATAGGTGAAGACACTTGACAGTGAGAAAGCAGAACATCGTGACTAAGCCAACCAAGACATCTTGTGTGCCCTGTGTGCACTAGGTTCACTGTGGAGGAACAGAGCATGCATATTGCAGAGACATCTTGATTTAGAGTTGCATACAGATGAAGGTACAACTGTGCAGGAGGGCACAGCTGACAGCCAGTCTTTGAGAATGAGTACAAGCACACCAAGCTGCAGCAGCGTTCAGAAGTCACACCAGCACATGGCACTACGCTGAAGGAGTGAGAGCTCACTTGTCCCCAGCTGGCACGGGGTCAGCACCATGGGCCTGTGAACCCATCCTCAGCTCAGTGCTGCACAGCTGCCTGCAGCAGGGCCACAGCTGTCTGCAAAGCCTGCCCTGCACTGCTCTGCTCTGCAGACTGATGAAAGTAAAGGATGGAAGAAAGGAAGTGTTATCCTCCCCTTTCTGTAAAAATAAGTAAATAAGTACTGAGATTGAGAAAGATTGAGAGAGATTTCCAAGGTAATTTCTGTTAGGTATTACGCTCCAAAGCATGTTGAGAAGTGAAGAGTTAAAAGGTTCCTCTGATTTCAGCTGGATGATAAATGCTCCCACATCTGACATGCCTGTCATCAGAGCACGCATCCAATAGCATCTACTCCTGTGCTCCCAGTACTGCCAAGGAAGAATTTATGTTTTTTTCTAGGATCATTATTATCCCAGTATTGGTAGCTCTCCCAGACTGATGAGCGTGCCAAAAGCACTGTACTCCATACGGCAGTCACTTAGTTGAGATCAAATACAATATCTATTTTCCCTCTAATTTCTTATATATCCTTTATCTAGGGAAGGAGGAAATGGTCTAATTCTCTTTCCCAGGTGTAACATACAAATAACATACAGCATTCTTCAGATAAAGAGAATAAAAATATTTTGAGCAGAAGATCAAGAGGAGAGAGATTTTAGTGGACGAAGAAATTGTGTTTGTTTTTTTCATTTATAGTCTAATCTTGTCCCAAATGCTACAATTTATTGACTAAGGACATGTTTTCATTTATAAATCATGGATCAGCTAACTTGCTTTGAGGCACTGTTTTGTTAGGAAGGTTTTGAAGCTTAAGTCTCCCCCATAGGAATGTGTGACGTGGTAAAAAATCTTTTGAGAGTATTTTGGTTTTGATAAGCAAACATAAAGTACAAATCATTATATTCCTTCTGTCATTTTTATATTCTGTGCTTGACATGTCAGTTTCTGTGTAGTACATTAAGTATAGCATGAGATGGGCAACCAAAGTTTTGGAATAAATCTTAAATTTTCTTTTTTTTTTTTTTAAGAAGATATTGTTTTTAATGCTGATTTATTAGTAGAAATACCCATTGGATAACGGGCTTTGGAATCTCTGGGTACCCTGGTTATTCCTGCATCACTGACTTTCTAGTCCAAATGAAGGCCAGATGAAAGACAGTGTAACAAACATATGGGAGCAATGGGTCAGAGGACAGGGAATCCGGCATGTTGCACTAGCAGTGCCCACAGCATCCAGAATGAGGTTAATCTGAATGTAGTTAGTTGTTTCGAATGGCTGGGACGCCCTTTCATACTTTGTCATCGTGCCCAGCCACTGCCCAGGACTTTTGTTGATTCGGATTTAGCGTTGTGTCCTGCAGGAATGGGCCCTACAGGGTCCTACTGATGCAAGCTGTAACAATATTATTAAGCTTGCTTGTGTCTGTTGATGGATACCCCTGGCCTGCAGTTCGCTGTGTCGCTGAACCAAGGAGATAAGGAAGCTCTGCTGAGTCTTTGTACCAAGGAAATAGGAGGTCCTGCTTGAAATCAGTCACTGAATATGCAATATACTTTTGGGAATCTTCTGCATATGTGACATAACTCTGAGAAACTTCTGCACTACCTTCTCCTGAAATACCAAAGAATAAAGATGTTCTCTGTGAGGTAAATGCTTCCATGTATGAGCTTCTCTCAGTGCCTGTAAGAGCATGCCATCATTATATCACGGAGGAGCCCCACTCACAGACAAATCTCCTTTGCCTTGGCACTGTGCAAGTCTGTGAAGATGACAGCTTTTCCCAAGGAACTTAATGGATTGCTTTCTGGATTCCAACAGGTGAAACTGATTGACTACATCCACCGGCAGCGGCAGTGCAAGCTGAGTGTGCCCCTGAATGACAGGACAGCAGAGCTCAACAGCTACCCGAGATTCAATGACTGGTTGGACATCGTCAATGTGAGGAAAGAAGTTGTACAGGTAAGGAGAAGGCAACCATCAGCACAGAACCTTCCTGCCCGCTCGTATGTGACTTTCCCAGCTGCCTGCTGCGTTTGAGTTAGTTTTCTGGTCAGGTGTGAAACTGTGGTCTGGATTTTGACAGAGTGGGAGTCTTTACTCAGAAACAAATAATTGTGTTGGTTTTTTTTATTTCACACAAAAGGCTCCTCCTGTGAGTGAAGTCTGGTTCAAACTGATACCAAAGAGCATTGCATCAGTGCAAAAGAATGAAATGAATAACTCCTCTGGTGTTCTGTGTGGTGGCCAGCATCAGCTGTTCATGCTTACAGACTGTGAGCATTTCTGATCTTTACAGATTCTTTATCATTTAATTCTTAACATGCAAATCACTGGAGACCCTTTTACTGCACAGAATAATCTGATACTCTTGCTGGAATCAGCAATGACCAGACAAGCCAATGCCTCCAGCTCCTGTCTGGACACATATTTTTAAGAGTCTGAAATCCTGCCTCTGTTAGGGTGATAAGTAGAATCTCAGGGTTTAGATTGTTTCATTGGGTTTGGCCTGTGCATGACTTATCTATGCTGTTCTGTACTGGGGAAAGTTCTGTTCTGCATAACATTAATGGTAGCATAAGTACAGCTCATTCTACTGGCAGCTAAACAAAGCAGAAAAGGCTTTTTCCATTCTTTTTTTCACATTTTTTGGCTCAGTGTTTGCACTCAATTTCTTTGATCCTTACACAAGCCACGATTTCTTTGACTTCATCAGGAATCTGCCTGTAAAAAGACTAAATGAAAAATGGAGCAGATTTCTATGAAAGTTATTCCAGATTGATCCTGACGTAACTGAACAGGTTCTGGTGAAATAGGATGAGTTGGAGACAGAGCTGTACCCTTTATTTACTGCTGTTTATTTTAAACGTGATGCTTTAGAATGGATATTGTCCTCCAGCCCACTGAGGGTTTGGGTGGCACAGCTGAAGGTGCAGCAGAGACAGTGACAGAACAGAGAAGCAGCCTGTTGCCGTGGCCAAACTGCCGGGCTCACAACTATTGTTGGTTTCTAGGGTTACTGGAATTGCTTGAGCCTAAAAGAATGTCTTTGTAGCTCTTTTTGAAATCTTTTGTGGTGCCTGCAAAACTGGGGGAAGGGATGAAGAGGTGGAGTGAGCAGGGAGAAGGAAGGTGGATAATTCAAATCTGCCACGTCCTGATAATTCAGGGAAACTGTCCTTCTGCACGTGTAGTCACTAAAGAAGGTGAGCAAATTTGGTTTTAATCCAAGTCAGGAAGAGAACATTTTCCAACTGTTCATTCTTTTTATTTGTGCTTGTTACCTTCTCCCAGTCAGTGACCAAGGTATGAATTGTTTTTCCTTCTGTTCCATGGGTCAGAAATACAAGGTGTACATTTAATGAAATTGCTCCATGATTCCAAATCTATGGCTATTTTTTAAAAGTTCTGCATCCACGTCATGTAGCTGCTGAGAGCTCCTGCAGTGTTTAGATTAGCTGGGCAATACATTTAGTCTTTACAGTGATTTTTGTGTAGAGATGTCTGCCCATGATGGTCTGTCTGTCAGAAATGTTAGAGGTGTCATGGGATCATTCCTGCTGTTGCTCAGATCTCATGCATGTGAACAACATTTCAGGTGAATCATTTGAAAATGGCAGTCACTGACAGAAGGTGCTTTAATAGATTAGCTATTATGAAATGCAAAATGGCTTCCCTTAGCATTATGCACAGCCTGTGGGGGGACTGGGGAGCAGCCATCAGGGAGCCTTTAAAGAGATAGTTGAGTAGGCCAGACAGTGAAAGTGGGGATGGACTCGGGTCCCATACCTGGTTCTGCTGCTACTGTATGTTTAGTCTGGGGTATCACTGAACATCTCCAAGAGTCTGACAGCTTGTCTGTAAAACTGAAATACTTATACTGGGTTTCAACACTACAGGGAGAAAGATAACCTCACAAATGTAATAATCTTTTCATGTAAGGCACATAGCTCTCTTTTTTCTAGGACTCTTAGGCTCTGAAACTGACTGAAAAAGTTGCTAACTGTAGAGTTGGAGAACTTTCCCCCCTGTGATCCTCAGAAGCCTCCAGCTGCAACAGGGCCCTGCTGTGGCCACCTCTGAGGTCTGGTGGTACAGTGGAGGTGTGCACAGGTGAAGGGCTTGCCTGTGGCCCACTGCTTGCTTCAGGAGAAAGGCCTGAGTTCATGGGCTGTTTGTTGTTTTGTTGGGTTTCTTTGCTTTTTTAAATGGTTCTGGTTTCCTTTGCACTTCTAGGGTTGCTGGGGGGAGCACTGCAAGATAGTGCTAATCTCTGACTTAACACCTTTGAAAAACAGCCTAATTGCAAAGCAGTTTTATAGCTCAGCAGTTAGAAAAACAATGCTCTTTTTCACCCTCTCCCACCTCCTCCTCCTTCCTTTCCCCCGCCCCCAGCTCTCTCCCAAATAAAGCTGCCATGCAGGGAAGTACAGAAGCTCCCTGGCTCTCCCGTCAGAAATAGAGCAGCAGCTCTAAATTAGAATATCTGCTGACTCCTCTAGTCCAGACTGAAGCCTATTTTTGCCCAGTGACTTGTTCTAGACATTGTGAAGCTTGAAAGCTCTTGCTGTTATAATTGCTGTCTTGTTGTTGGGCTCCTTTCTTTCTTTGAAAACCTATATTTAAAACAAGAATAATGACTGCTTGTAAAATCCTTTAGTTCTGGAAGAGATTATAGTAATAACAATGCACTGTTTATGGCATTGGGTGACAGCTCAAGCTCCTGTGAACATGGATAACAGTCAGCCAGTCATGCTGCGCAGAGTGAAAGGGCTGTTCTGTGTGGACCTAGAAAACTTGGAGGTAGGTGGTAAATACAAGTGTTGACTTTGTGATCCTGTTTGCTGTCTGTGAATACACAATTTGGAGGGGTAAGGAAAAAAGGAACCCCCCACCCTAACTCATGCTATTTCTGTCTCTTTGTTACTGTGCCTCTAATCAGTTGCCAGACAGATTTGTATCATAGGAAACAGTGGCTACTGTAGAGCAGGTTCTGCTTTGGAGCTGGCCTAATACTGTTCTGTGACTTCTTTTTTTTTCTTTTTAAATACAGCATTTTTCTAGGAAATGCCTTGTTTTTGGCTAGGAGTTTTGGAGGAGGATTAGCACTGCGTGTGTGTAAGTTACTACAAAAAAATGGTCCATATGTAGCTAAATATGGTGGACTGAAACTGGGAAAAAGAGATAGTTGAACTGAGAATGAAAAAATGTGGGTCAAGGAAATCTACAGAAAGTTATGTATTTGTCTTCAGTGGGTGAAAGTTGCTCTGTAAACCTGGGAAAATACACTGTTCTGGGTTGTCATGCTCCTCTTGAGAGCTAGAGTTGGGAATTGAGGAGAGCAGGAAGAAAAGAGGATGTGAGCCTCGCTCCCAGGCTGACTGAAGGAGTTTCTTGCAGAGCTATTTACTGGGTTCTGGGCTTGCAGCATGTCTTCTAAATAAAAAGTGATTAAAAAATCTCTATTAACTTACTTTCTTTAGCATAGAAAAAATTCTCTGCCTTTTTTCTTGTTCTTCCCAGAAACATCAATATTCTGTTCCCACATATAACTTGTCATCATCTTAAAAAGTAAATTAGAAACACAGTCATCTCCTTATCTCCCAAAGCATGTCTGAACCAGCCCTGCTCACTATGTAGCAGGGGTTCCAGTCAATCAAGTCTGGAAAGCTTGGAAAGCTGTTTTTAGTACAGATGACTGTCCTGCGTGGGGGGGCAGATTGGTTCCTGAGCAAGCCAGGGGCAGCACTTGGCACACAGCAGGAAAGGTTTGTGCCGCGAGTAAGAATGAACTTAAGAGCCTCCTGCTGTCCCTGTGAGAGGCTGTACAGGGTGAGGCCCCAGTGCAGCACTGATACTGTTAGACCACGGCCCATGGTTTTGCTGGTTGACTGGGCTCTAGGTTGCAGCGGATCATGCCGATCAGTTGCTTGAGGAAAGGTGTGGCATTTCTGTGTGTCCATCTTTACTTTGGTTGGGGGAACACCAGAGGCAGATCTGCCTAACCCTGTCAGGTTTCCACAGGTGTGTCCTCTCATCTCCTGTAAGGATATCTGTCTGGGATTTCCATGGCTCTGACTCAATAGCTAGGTAGCTGAGATCCTGAATCTGCTAATTATGTGCATGCAAATGAACTCCGTCATGCAGGCTTTGTGCACCTGTACTTCATCACCATGTGCCAGCTGAGGGCCACTCCCCAGTGTAAGCAGCCATTCCCCGCTGCTGTCAGGGCTCGCTGGCCCTGCCACGGCAGGTGGGTTCCCCTCGCAGCACTGAACCACTTATGGCACGGGGTCAGGGAGGCTCTCACACCCCTCCAGACTGCAGTGAGATCTGCAGCTGTACGCCTGCCTTCCTACAGAAAAGCTACAGCTCCTGTCTGCGAAGAGCAGAGTGGGACTGCCCTGAGCCTGCCAGCTTCTCTCCGCCCACTGGTTTGTGAGAGCTGAGATGGTGCAGATGTTAAGCAAAACCATAGCCTGTACATACAGCTTAATGCAAGTGAGAAATTCAATGTGGGAGGCATTCCAGAACGCCCGTAAAACTTCAGAAATCTAAGAACAGAACGATTTTTCAGTAACTTCTTCATTGGACACCAGTAAACCAGAGCAAAGGAAAAATCATCAGGCACAAAATGTTCTTAAGAGCATCCTGATTGCTTTGCTATCAGTGGGAGTTTAAGCACATTATGTAATGAGCTTTCTCTTCTAACATTTGCTGCTTCACAGGAGGATGGCTGGTGAGAGAATGCATTGATTTAAGAGGAGGCACTTGGGGCCTTGTCAACTGTCTGTCTTTACAGGAAGAGCCCTGTCTACTAGGTTGAGGGGCAGGTCAGGCTGATTTGTCCAAGTACCACAGCATTAGCTCTGTAGGCTTATCTGCACTAAAGAATCTTTACCAAAAATACCTCATGCACTGTGTTAGATATCAGCATTTTTGCCATGTTTCAAGGATTTAAGTTGGACACTAGACAAGATTAAAGACATTATGCTATCATGAACTCTTCACCCTGGCTAATTCAGAGTAACCTCTGGATGGCTTCTGGGATGCTCTGGATTGCTTTTCTCCCCTTTAAACACGGATGCTACAGAGTGCAGTCTGTATGTCTGATAGGCGAGTGAGCTTTGTAGGGAAGTTCTCTTTCTGGTTTGGGCTTTTTTTAACGTTGTTTCTGCTGCACAGCTTATGTGAGTAAGGCTCTGAGTTTTGCTGGTGCTGTTCTGAGGTGCTGAAAGATTGAAAGCAGCAGTTTCTAGATGTATTTTTTTTCCCCTTAATAAATTTTTCCCTACTATTAGAGTAGTATGTGAATATCTTGCAGCATGCTGTGTTATTCTGTAGGCAAGGAAAGGTGCACCTGGGGAGATGGCACTTAGCTTGGCCCTAATGCAAGCCTACAAGCTGCATTTATTTTAAAGCCACAGCACCTGTGAAGAATGAGGTGAAGATGAGTCTGTTGAACCCATATTGCTCACTGTCAGTGCTGAAAAATGGCAATAACTGCTTCTGAAGTGCTCAGAATTGCACTTGCACCAGTGGAGGGCTGGAGCCCACATCTGCACAGCTCAACAGCTGAGCCAGAGCATCAGCGGGGCATGTTTTAAGCTCCATCTTGAGCTGGTGACCCTTATCACTGTCACGCTGGCTGGGAGGATAACACAGGTAAATTATGTAAGGCTGATCTTAGGGGCTCGTGTTGGCCAGTTTTATACTAAGCCACTGTATATGTGCAACACGAGTGGTTCTTTAAAGAAAGCCTCTTACTTCCCCTCCCTCCCCCTCTTTGAAGGCTTATTTCTTTTGTTGTGTGGCAGCAGGTTCAGAAAGTCTGAGCTCTCCCAGCTCAAGGTCATTGGGGCTGTTTAAATATAATCTCCTTTTCTGTACTTATACTTTCCTACAACTTGTTATTCTGTCTTTCTAAAATTAAACTATTGAGCAAAAGAGTAGATTGGACTTTGCGTGCTGGCCCAGGAAGGAGATGAGCTTACAGCAGGCTGCACTGTTGGGGTGTGCCTGGGTGAAAGCACACTTAGGATGGAGAGCAAAGCCAGCAGTGAGCCTGGGCTTCCATGAAGTGCTGGGCTGTGCCTCGTGTTGCATGCATTGAGGCACAGAGCGCAGTGCTGCTGGCGGAAGTGAAACTGGTCAGCCTCGGGGTGACAGAGTTCAAGCCCTCCGCAGCAACTGCATACCGCAAAGGAAGAGATGCCTGAGCACTTGTAAAAAGGTGGTAGCTTGGAGTGCTTTGTCATTTTTTAAAAACCGGTGTTAAGGATTTTCTCTAAAACTAGGAAGGTTTGAAAAATGAAGTGAAAGCTAGGGATTCCTCCTTGCAGCAGTTTGATCTTTAAAAAAGAAAAACAACCAACAGTGCCAGCCTTGCAAGAACAGGCAGTCCTGTGGTTTAACTGTGGAGCTGCAGTGGGACAAAGATACGGCTTGGTTCTCTGTGTCAGTAAATGCTGGTTATGCTCCTGTGGGAATGAGAGAAGGACCTGTGGGGCTCCAAATGCTGCTGTGCAGGACTCAGCTCCGCTCACAGACCATTGTGGTAACCCCTCCCCACCACCCCCACCCATCTGTACTGGTGGAGATGAACAATTCTGTGTTTGTGGACTGTCCCTGGGGAGCAGTGAGCATGTGCTCATAGGAGCCAGAGCTGAGCCCAGATGCCATTCCTCATACCTCCTGCAGTAGGGAATTGGAATTCCCCACTGAAGCCTTGTCTATACTAGCACAACCAGGAAAGCTAATTTGGGGTAAGTAAAAATAGTCAGCTCTTCCTCGCTGATACAACTTGAATCACACATTCAGTATATGCTGCTTGGTGTTTTTTTTTTTGTTGTTTTTGTTTTTTGTATGAAGTCCTAATAGACCATTTCATACTCCACTGAGGACTAACTGTATGGGTACAAGGCTCATGTCAGAGGTGCTGTGGCACATGGCCTGGGTAACTGCTGTACTCTGCCCTCCTTGTAAAAGGAGAATAAGTAGAAGAGAACCTGACTGTATCCTGGGTACCTGGGGGGAGGTAGGCTTGCAGAACAAACTGACTTCCTTCTTTCTTCTAGCCTTCACATATTTAAAATATAATATTTTATTGGGATTTCCTTTACTGACTTCAATCTCTAAACTGAGCACGGAGAATTGCTTTTGGTATGTGATGCTACACCTGCTGTTACAAAGCACTGTGTGGCTCACTGGAATTTCTGCCAGCCCACATATAATTAGCTGCCAAGCCTTGATACCCCCTGTGCCAATCATCAACCCGAATGTTAGCAGTGCAGATCAGCAGTGCTTTTCCAATCTGGGGCCTCCACAGAGCAGGAGCAGAGGGAATCTGATCCCCACCTGCTCCGTCCATCGCATCCCATCCTGGCTGACCCCACATGTCATCTCACACTACTGCTTGAAGCCTGGGCCAGGGGTGGGGTTGTCTGTGATGGACACGTTCAGGTTTCTGAAAATCTTAGTCTATCTCAATTTACTGATTGACTTACGAATAGCTCTAACAAGTTACTGGTTACTTTTGTGTCGTGCAAAGGATGGGAAAGTGAGGTGGTACTGGGTAATGTGACTCGGTAGCTCATACCGAGAGCTGTGTGATGCCATTACTTAAAGCAGCAGCTATGCAATCTCAGCTCAGGGAGTGGTGGTAGTGAGGAAATATTTTGAGATAATTCAAGAATGACATCGCTGTAATCCTGCTTATTCTGTGACTGTGTAAAAGCCTGAAGTGGGATGAGCGCGTCTCGCAAGAGGCATTGGCTTTCCCTTACGCTTTAATGGAAGTGGTAACATCTTTGCTTTAGAAAGTAGGGGCACCTGTGGTGGTTGAAGGCTTTCTGCCCTGTTTTAGGTGTTTGTGGGTGTTCCGAGGCTGGCGGTGCTGGGATGTCTCTGGCTGACTCTGTCCCTCTGACACCGCTCCCATGTTGCAGGGATGCACCGTGCTTGTGCCACGGCTGCTCCCATCACTGCGAGGCCGGCATCTTGCATCACAGCCAGCCTTGTGATAGTGCTGAACAAAGATGCTTCTGTGAGCTGCTCTCTGCGTGCAGAGGAGTGGAACCAGAGGGTGCTGGGAAACAGCTCACTGTCAGACAAACTTGGTTTAATGCTGGAATTAGTTCAGTTTGGCTGGTTTGTGAACAAAGCCGGGCTGGCTTCATGCTGGAATATTTGAGAGGTGGATTTTAGGGAGATTAGTTCAAATGTAAGATGTTTAGCATTGAAATGCCTGAATTAAGGCAGGTTAACTTTATCTCTTAATCACTTTAGAAGTATGGTGTGATTAGCTGAGCACTCTCAGCACCTCTACTTGAGCATTTCAGAATGTTTAAAACCAGCTGCCTGTGTCAAAGCAATGGCAGCAGGTTTGATTCATCTCTTGATTTTAGGATCCAGGCAAACTTTGCCCCTAGTTGGGATTGTGAGAGGTGTGATCTTAAGACAACATTCATCAAAGCACACTCAGATTTGATTTGCAGCCTTTTAGGGTTTGAAGAGTTGGTGTTAAATGTCCACAGGATTTCAAGCTTTTTATTTTCAAACAGATACACTCTGTTTCCCATTTAAATAGAGGTTGAAACCTTGTTATGCAGCACGGTTCCAGCAGCTGAAACTTCAGGAAGGAGGCCAAATATTGTGAAACTTGTGATCTCATTGTGAGAACAGGCAGCAGTGAGGTTTGTTTAGGCAAAACTGTGAGGGAAATTCCTGGGTATCTGCACTAAGTATCCTGGTTTTGTTTATTAACTACAATTGCTGCAGACTTACGCTGGAAACATTTGAATGAGGGAGGAGAGAGGCAATACAGCTTAACTTTGTCAGGGAACATCTGATCATTTCATGCTTTCCAGAATCCTCTACCTTTTGTGTCTGCTTGATTATCTTTGTGGGGGTTTGGTGTATTAAGAGGCACAAGGAGATCTACACGAGTATCTTTCTAAGCAGGGTATCAGTAAGGCTGGTCCTCTAATGAAAGTAAAATTGCTTAAGGAGGAGATCAAGATCTCTTTATCAGAACATTCTTTCTGTTGAAAGAAGCCATTTTCCACACTGTTTGAAGTTTTCATTTCTCCAGTGAAAACCAAATATTTGCCATTTTTTGTTTTTTTCCTTCAGATTTTTGGCCTGTTTTGTTTTAATGATATAGATAACTTTAATTAGTAACTTTTAAAAAATATTGAGTGAAAACTTTCCACAGGGGGGGAGAAGAATATGTCAGTCACCTCTAATCCTGATTTAAATACTGGAGAAGGACGATGACATCCTAGTGATACAGAGCACACTCAAGCATGTGCCTGGTCTCTCTTGGTGTAGAGAGAACGGAGAGCAGATTCTGAGCACTTGCTGCTGTGTGATCACTACTGACCCACTGATCCCTACGAGAGACACACAGCCAAGTGAGTAAATGATGAGTCAGACCAGGCAGTGAGACAGTGGCACTACTTTACATCAGAAACAAAGATGACAGTCTTATTATAGGTATATATAAAAAAGTATATTGACTTTTTTTCTCCTGCAGAGAATACCAGAGGAGCTAACCTTAGATGCCTTACTTGAAATGAATGAATCAAAGGTGAAAGAAACGATGAAGAAGTGTGGCGCCAGAGATGAGGAGTGCTCCAGACTCAATGGGGCACTGAGCTGCTTAAGGAAGGTGACTGAATCAGGTATAAGACTGCTTTTTTCCTATGGAATTAGTTTTTCAGCAACCCAGATCGCATCCCTCTTCCTTTCATTTGAGATAATCTACAGAAACCTTTGTGTCTTTGGTTATATGCTATAATTGATGACAGGTTATGGCTCTTGGATCTGCATGAAATTAGAGCAATCAAATGCATCTAGAGCTATGAGTGAGATTTGGTTTTTGACAATATTTTAGCTCTGGAAAGAAATGTATGTAGAAATACACTCCCCAGCTCAACAGGCTGTAAGATTGTTCCCTCTGTGTTCAGAGTTGGGTCTGGTGCTGCAGTGAATCTTCCATCATTTAGTATCCTGGACCTAACAAATGCAACCTCCTCTCCCCCGATATTGCCAGCTCAGTGAGAAGGTAATTCTGTTTCATATGATGCAGCTTAGAAATCTGAGTGTTTTTCAGCTTAATTCTTTGGAAAAGCAGAACATTGCTCTGACAACCCTTTATCACTGCAGGCTGCCAATTGACTTACTTCTCTTTAAAGCTGCTTCCTTCCTGCTATTTTTCTGACTGGAAATTGATATAATCATTCCAAAAATTCCAGCAGCAGATGTAAGAGCTAGAAAGAACTTTGATTTACACTGACATTATGGAAAGAAAGATACTGTCTGTTTAATTAGGAATGTACGTGTCCAGTGGATCTGACTAAATTATTTAAGAACAACTTCAAGATTCCTAGAGTGCTGTTTCACCATCTTCCCCTGCCACTTTCCAGGGCTACTTTCAAAGCATTGTAAATTCCATTTGTATCAGACATGGCATACCAGCATACTGGCATTCCTGTGCATCAGATCTTTCTTTGTAACAGTTACCCATCTGTCACTGAAAGGTGGTGTTTCCTGTTGGTATTGTGACAGCTTATATCATTCACAAACCATAAAGATTAGTTAATGGAAAAGCCAACAAACAGTTCAATTTCATGTTTCCTTTTTTCTAATCTTTCTTGTTCTGCATTGTCAAATATTTCCCATCCATATGTAGCAATATCAGCCATTGTTCAGAAGGCATTGGCATCTAGCCCAAATTCAGGTACACTTGTATTAATGTTCCTCTTTTTCATAAAAAAAAAAAAAAAGAAGAATTTCTGTGTTTTGAGAGGTTATTTTTTTTTTTGAAGCCTAGATATCTAACTACCACTTAATCTGTTAAAATTCAACCTATCTTAGGACATAAGATCTTCTAAAATGTATTTTAGTTTAGAATTTGAGATATGAAAAAAGGGTAGTCCTTGTTTTAAAGGTTAACTTTAGCTGATGGCATAGATAGATCTTAGAGAGGAGAAGCAATTACTTGACTAGATGCAAAGTAGGGGAAAAAAGCCTAAAGCTGCATCGTGCAGTCTTGTGTGCCAGCATTTTTGTTTTCTTTTCCTTCTAAACCTAACATTGCTATGGTTGCTGACCAGGTGGGGAGTTAAAAGATGATGTGCTGATGAATCTTTCTGAAGCACGCCGAGAGAACAGCTCTACAAACACGACTGAGTGCCCTTGCTCCTCCGCACCCACATGGACTCACAGTGCACTGAACCTTCCCAAGGGCAACAGCCCGCAGGCACGATCGGTGTCGGTGTCTACAATCTCATCTTCAGATTCTCTTGCCTCAAGTCACGGACCTTCTATCTATGCAGATAACCTCCTGGACCCTTTTGCCTTCCCTGCACATGGTGGAAAGTTAACACCAAGGACTCCTCATAGCATCACCATCACTCCCCCAACCACTCCTCAAGCCAAGAGACGGCACAAGTTGAAGCCACCACGGACTCCTCCTCCCCCTTGCCGCAAAGTTTTTCAGCTGCTACCTAATTTTCCAACCCTCACAAGGAGCAAGTCCCATGAATCACAGCTGGGAAACAGGATAGATGATGTTCCTCCAATAAAGTAAGCATGATACTTCCTTCTCCTTGGGCAGTGAAGAGCTGTATTCCTACCAGCAGGCATTCAGTGCTCCAGTTCTGATGCTGGTGGCCAGTTGCCTGGTTGTGGTTTCACTGCAGTCTTACAGTCAGTACCAGTGGGATATTCTAGGATAACCACAAAACTGGCTTGCTAATAGTCTCCTTATTTGAAATTGCACCTTCCTGGGAGGTTGGGATGACTACTGCTCTGAAAGAGCCCCAACCAGTTTTTTCTCAAATATCTAATAGTCAATTCCATATCCTGTAATTCTCTTTTGACCTTAAATGTTCCTCTCAGTTCAGGTGGCTGGTATCCTTTTACATTTTATCTTAAGATGTATTTTAGCTGCTAGTGTGAGCTTTAAGAAAACCTGTCTATGTGACAGCTATGCCTCTGTACGAAGACAGGTACTCTTAAGCTAAATATTTATTTTTTAACTGATCCAGGCTTTTTTTTTCTTCTTGTTCTCTAGGTTCGGTAAGAGATTTTTACAGGTTTGACTGTATTTCCTTGATTGGGAGAGAAGAACCTGTCGTTGTCAACAGCCTGCAGTATGGTCACCTCTGTTCAGCCTGTGGAAGCCCTTAATAAGGCCTTGCATTCCAGAGCTCCTGTTACCTTTGTGAAGAATTGCAGGATGCTTACAGGGTTTTTGTACCTGGTATTTCTTTGGTGACAAAAACAGGAAAAACGAATGCTGATGTCTAAGGGCTAAAAACAAGGAGTTTGTGTGTAATTGCTTGTCTTTGACTTCTGAGAGCTCATATTGGTGTCCCTTGGTACTAGAAATAGATCTAACCATTTGTCTTCTGATAGTGTCTTCAGATATTCACTGCCTAGTGTCTCTGTGATGAAACTAGACAGTCGTGTGTGACCTTTTGAGAAATGCTTCAGACATTCCTGAATCTAGAATGCTTCCTCTACTGATGAGTCTGTTCACACATTTAAGGGTTTGCAGGACAAGGACTTGTGCTTTTATACACCGACACGTTTGTGTTTTAATGCTACTGAACATGACTATGTGCACCTGCCTCTTAGACACAGAACTTGCAATCTTAGAAGCTCTTGGAAAGTGCCTCACCATTCTGTGAAGTATGGAAGATTATATAAGAACCATACATTTCTCGAGTAGCCTTTAGAGCAAATCCCAGAAATTACTTTCAAAAATGAAAAGTACAAAGGGAGAAAATTGTACAATGAAATTGTAAGCAGAAATTGGAGCATTTCTCTCTGCAGAGTGATGGAACTTATATAATGAATTGAAAAGGTATAAGAAAATGTTAAAACAAATTAAGATTTTTGGTGCTTCTATGCACATAGTCTATTTTAAAAATTATACTGTGGGCTCTCTTATGTCCCATTAAATTCCAAAATTTATAACTTCTGTCATAACTTATGTTATGATGATTAATGCAGACAGTTGTGGTTTGGATGTCCGCACTTGCTCAACAGTATTCTTTGGAAAAACAGCTAGTCAATCCAGCCTATTGTGAGATGCTGAAGACCACAGATGCCTTGAAAAGTTCACTGGAATAATTACTAAAAA